CGGCCACAACCCAGGTTCAACAGGTCTCTTCGCACTGTTGATCCGTTGATCCCAGCCTTGCCGATGCGCTGATTCACTAACCTTTGCCAGCTATCCGAAGAAACATCGCCATGCCGGGGGGGGTTCTCAAAATGTTCTCCTAATTTTCGTCGTCGGCGGCGTCGGCGTCCTCCGCCGTGTCTCCTCCTCCTCCTCCTTCCCCCCGGAGGAGGATGAGGAGGGGGAGGAGGAGGGAGGAGGAGGCAGGAGGAGGGAGGAGGAGGAGGAGGAGGTAGGAGGAGGGATCAGGAGGAGGAGGAGGAGGAGCTACTGTGCGTGGATCGAAGGGTGCGCGCTTCGCGCGGTGCCGCCGTTGAGGCGTGGCCCTCCCCACTCGCCTCCTCGCCCTCTCTCTCTCTCTCTCTCCGTCGCATCCGCGTCGTCTGCTGCTGGTTTTTCCTCACTCCCCCTTTCCTGCGTTTGCATTTTCCGCCCTTGCTCCTCCTCCGCCTCCTCCTCCTCCTCCTCCTCCCTCCCCTCCCTCCGTCCTCTTGTTTCGATCGCTTGATGCCTGATCGTTTCTTGGCAAGCTAGAAAATTCGGCAACATCAATGTTGCTGGATTTTTTCGGGTATTCGCCCGTGTCTCCATTTGGGGCCGGACTGCCCGATATAAGGTTCACGTAAGGTCTACATCTGGTCGCGTTCTGCCCAAAATCCTCTTCGCCCAGTGCCCCCCCTTCCTCTTCGGCAGACCCTCCCCCGCCTCCATCCACTCGTGCTCGATAGCAGCGTGCGCAGCCTGCGTGAACGGCACTGGGAAACACGCCTGGATTATGACAGGATCCTCGGACACACGCCTGGATTCCCCAGTGCGACCTGGGAGCGATAACATCTGCATACGCGTCTCAACAAACCTCGGGAATGCTGCGCACAAGCTACCTAGGCGCTGTCCAAAAGCAACGGAAATGCTGCTTTGAAGCTCCACTGGCGCTGCCCACAAAACTCGGAAAGTGTGCCTAGGAGCTGACCAAGCGCAACTGGGAAGCGATGCCTAGGCGCTGCCTAGGACCTGAACGCGAATGCAGGAAGCGCTGAGCAAAACCTGCGCAAACGACTGCGACCCGCATGCAAAGAATGAGTAGGACAACGGTTGCGGGACACACTGCTTGCTCGAGCAAGCCGCCGCGACTCTCATCTGCCAGTAGTCGTTGAGAAGAGGCTGGCTTACCTCAGCCTACCTGTTGTTTGTCGAAGTCCCCTGTCTAGCTCGATAGTACAACTGTCTGGGAATTGTATGTCCGAGTCTCTCTCTTTCTCTTCACCTCCCTCGTATTGTTCGTTTGTGACCGATGGAGCTGGAAAGCGCTGTCTGGGAGCTGCCTAGGACACGCGCGCTGGCAAACGACAATCTCGACGAAGGAACTGCGCAAAACCCACGTCTGGGGAATGAGTGAAAAACCTTTTGTGGGACACACTGCTGGCTCGAGCAAACCGCCGACATACTCACTGGCCGACAGCTGTAGGGGAACAGCTGGCCGATCTCAGCCTGCCAGCTTCGTACCAAAACCCGTACAATACTCTCAAGGAAACATCCAGGATTTGTTGTCCAAGCTGTTTTTTTTTTCCATTTCGTTCCTCACGCTCATGGTTTGCGTCCAACGGGCATGGGAAGCGCTGCCTTTGGAGGCCTGGAAATGGGCACCAACACCAGCACAGGGGGTTGCCTCCTCAGGGGGAAGAGGATCCTAGATTTTCGGTGTTGGTGGTAATAGCTCGGTCACCTTGGAAGCCAGAATTTTACCACCATCACCGAGATCGGGATCCTCTTCCCCCGGTGGAGGCACACCGCCGAAATTGGTGTTGGTGTCAACCTCTAGGCCTGCGATGCCTAGGAGCCGCGTCCTGGGAATGAGCAGGGACGCGCCTGCGGGGCACGCTGCTGGCTCGAGCAGGCCGCAGAAAAAGGCCCACTGGCGGGACGGCCATCCGCAAGAGAAGCCGCCCTACCTCAACCGACCGGCGTCTTATGAAAACCCTGCACTGCTCTCTAGAGGAAATAGGGGCAAAACAAACCTACCTCGCTTTTGACCACCCTCGCTTCCAAGAGATACCAAGCGATGCCAAACCACGGCCTGTACTGGTCAGGCCGCTTGACGAGGAGGCGCGTGGTATGACTTGGTCTTGCCTGGAAGCGAAAGCGGGGTAGGTAATTCACTCTCTAGATCGAGGAAAGATCGGAGAGGTGTTTGCCAGACTCTTTCTCCATTCCCTCCCTCACGTTGCGCTTGTTTGTGACCCACGGGCACGGGAAGCGCTGCCAAGACGCCGCGCTTGGGGAACGAGTTGCCAAGAGCGCGTTTGGGGGACATGCAGCAAGTTCCAACAAATGTTTGTGGCGCTCGGTGACCGGCGGCTGCGGGGAGGAACCTGGCCTACTTCAATCGCCCGTTTTCTCTCGGAACCCCCGACAACTGCCTCCATGAGCTATCCGTGACCCTTCTGCCCGACTCCCTGTTTCCCCTTGCTCTCCTCACGTCGTTTGTTTGTGACCCACGGCCCTGGGACTGCTGCCTGGAAGCTGCCTTGGCGCTGCCCAGGCGCTACCTATGTCCTGCGCGCGAATGCAGGGAACGCTGCGAAGGAGCTGCGCAAACGCTAGCGACCCGCTGCTGACTCGAGCAAGCCACCGCGACGCTCACTGGCTGGCAGCCGTGGAGAGGAAGCGGGTCTATCCCAGCCTGCCGGTTTCTTCTCAGACAACCTTAAAACTCCTGCGTAGTTTCCGAAACGGCCGCGGGCGCAAACTCTGGAGGGCGAACAGGCGCTGCCACCACCAGAACGGACGAGGGCGTCGGCGACGGCGAGAACGTCGAAACGGCTCCCCATCCTCCTCAAACTGCCCCCCCCTCCCTCATCATCCTTCTTGGCCCTGCCTAATATCCTCCTCGTCCTTCTCCTCCTCCTCCTGTTCCTCAATCTCTTACGCCTCCTTCCTCTGCACACCCTTTCACCCGATCGCTCACCCGATCGCTTGCTGATAGCAGGTGATGCAGCGAAACGGTAGAACCATTCACGATGGGGGATGTGGTCCTCGCGGAGACGACAGCACCGTCCTTAACCAGGTAGGCGGCCAGCGCTGAGGCTGAAGCCCCGTTCTCACTTACGGACGTGGCCTAAGCTGAAACGAACAAACGCTCCCCAAAAAGAATGTGCCCGTCGCTGAGGCGAGAACATAATCCATATTTTGTTGATGCGACAATTCAATACTTCATAGCGATATTAAAACAGGGCTAGGATCGGGATAAATCGCGCCAGAACGTTCCGAAGCGCTCTCAGAGCGTTCCGGAACGCTCTGGAGCGGCCGTGGCGCCCAATACATCCTCCAAACCCGCAGATGCTCAGAGATTTCGAGTTATCCCGATCCGATTTTGTCCCGATCTTCGCGTCGTTTCGGATATGCCGCAGGTCTCATGTCTCAGGCGACACTGGCCAGACCACCTCAGGTCAAGGCATCTCCCAGCCGAGATCTGGGAGGGCGTTTCGAGCGAGATTGGCCCTGACCATCCTAGACATCCGAAGGAGTCTCTGTGCGGTCGCCCCCCGGCCGCCACGAGCCTTGCGACACAACGGACCCACGGGAGTGGGCGCAAATAATGCTGACAATACTCGGGGAGACGTAAGACTCGGGTACGGGGGACTCGGGTTGGCCTGACGGGGCCATCATAAAAATGACGAGGCCCAATCTGAAATTTGACGCGAGCTCCCGCTGCAGACATCCCACGAAAACTGGACCGTCAAAATCCAGGACGCGCTCGTCAAAAAACGTCGGCAAACCCGAGTTCCGGCTTACCCGAGTCTTACGCTCCCCCGAAATACAGCGTTCTGAGAAAATCCTGCAATTCTGGTGACAAGACGTACTACGCTTTCGAAAAACATTTCTGCTTTTACAATGGCGGCAGCGCGTCGGGGAAGCCAGGACGACGTAACATGAGTCACAGTACTCCCCAAAACCACCTCCGAGTGGCTCCCGAGAGCCCCCCCAGGTCCCCACAGGCATCCATGAGGCCTCTGACAACAAAGACACGGCCATTCCCAAATCTCCTTGAACACACCCGAGATGGCCTCCAAGTTCGCCAAGATGGTCAAAGATGGCTTCCAAGACGGCCCCAGATAGTCCAAGATGCGTCTCTGACTCCGCCCGAAAAGACGCCACGACGGCCTGAGATGGGCCCAAGATGGCCTAAGATGCCCCAAGAGGATCCCAAGAAGGCTCCAAGACGGCCCGGCATCAGACGGGACAGGAACGCCCTACCAAAGAAGCCCCCGAGAAGACCGCAAAGGCCCCACAAGGCCCCCAAGATGCCTCCAAGAGGCCCCCAGGAAGCTCCCAGGAGAGGACGCCCAAAGAGTGCGCCCAGAGGCCCTCAAGATGCACCCTGATCCTCCTCCTTGTCCTCCTCCTCCTGATCTTGCCCACCACCCTCTCCCAAGTGCTCCCCGAAGGGTTGCTACAATGGCCGCGCGGGGACACATGGTCCGATAGCTTAGCAGAGCTCGGGCCACAACGTTCGGCCACAAGGGCGATTCCAAAAGGTTAGGGGGCGGCGGTGATTCGCTGTAGGCGTCTCCGATAGAAGAACACCGCTCCGTCGGCCATGATGCGAATCGCGAGCTCAAGCAGGAACGCGAGCGTGAAGGCCCTGTTGACCCACTTGAACGCCACGTCGTCACTGATGCTGGAAGAGCTGCCGACGTGACGCATGTCCCAGTCTGCCTGATACCCTATGACGGCGGCGTTTGCGACGATAACGATGATCGGAGAAGGGCCAGTCAACACAACGGCGGCCACCCCTGGGGGGGCCCAGTTCTGCCTGGGACTCCTGGATGCTTCGCGCCGCCACGGCCAGGTGCGCCTCGAACAGCGGGACAGGACATGCCCCGGGAGGGATCCGGGCTCCGATCTTGAGCGCGTCTGGGACCGGCGGGAGAGCCGCCGCTGCCTCGACCGGCCCTCTCCGAGATGGGGACCAGCATCTCGAAGGTGATGCTGTGGGTGCAGGCAAAAGCCATGCGCCTCGGGAGGAGCGGGGGGGCAGCCGAGATAGGCGTTCCGATCCGCCCCCCCAAGAGTGGAAACGTAGCATGCCTTTCGACGCCATCATAAACGGACTGGGGCCCCACCAACTGGAACAGAATTGTTACTCCGCGGCACCCGCCGCGAAATAACGACGACGACGACGAAAACGACGACAACTCCGTCTACGAATACGACAACGACCACGATACAACTGCGGAATAAAGGGAGGAGGGGGAGCAGAGGAGGAAGAGGAGCAGGAGAAGGGGCGGAATTGATTCCCCGCCGAGAGAAACAGCGGAAGAAGCTCCAAAACTAGATACCTGCTGAGGGAAATTCCTCACACCTTCGGACAGAACGGGGCACCTAACCATTTGGGGGACAAGGCCCAAGGCCCCCCTGCTGGAAGGAGCGCTGGAGGAGGAGGAGGAGGAGGAGGAGGAGGAGGAGGAGGAGGAGGAGGAGGAGGGAGGAGGAGGAGGAGGGAGGAGGGAGGAGGAGGAGGAGGAGGAGGAGGAGGGAGGAGGGAGGAGGAGGGAGGAGGAGGAGGAGGAGGAGTCTGAGTCTGAGACCTCACGTCATCCTGACCCCCCGCGCGCGGGGCACTGGGCCGGCCAACCGCCCCCCCTGCTCCGTTGCCTGGAAAAAACCGGCGGCGAGCGTCAACCTGGCGCCCTCGCTCAGGGCATCCTCAGAGAACTGGCCCCCCAGGCCTCCCAAAGGAAGCCCTCACAAGCGCGAAGGGGCGCACTGGGCGCGTCCCAATTCGGGGCTCTCGCGCAAGACATCCTCCCACAGTCGACCCCTGGCGCGGGGGAAAGTCAGGCCTCAAAGCGCCCCCGCGGGACCGTTTCTGGGAATCTGCCGTCGCGCGCTGGGGCGCACTGGGCGTGTCCCAGTCCGAGGTTCTCGCTCGAGACAGCCTCCCGAAGTCCCCCCCCGCAGCGCGAGAAAGCCAAGCCTCACAGGTGCAAGGACCATTTCGGTGCATCTGCCGGCGCAAGCCCCAGCTCGCCAGGACGCACCGGGTATGTCCCAGTCCAGGGCCCTCGCTCGAGACGTCCTCGCAAAAGCCGGGGAGGGGAGGGGGAGGGAGGGGGGGAGGAGGAGGAGGAGGAGGAGGAGGAGGAGGAGAGGAGGAGGAGGAGGAGGAGGAGGAGGAGCAGGAGCAGGAGCAGGAGGAGGAGGAGGAGGGAAGAAGGAGGAGGAGAGGAGGGGGAGGAGGAGGAGGAGGAGGAGGAGAGAGGAGGAGGAGGAGGAGGAGGAGGAGGAGGAGGAGGAGGAGGAGGAGGAGGAGGACGAGGAGGAGGACGAGGAGGAGGAGGACGAGGAGAAGGAGGCGGGAGGGGGGAGAAGGAGGAGGGGGAGGAGGAGGAGAGTTGAAGGAGGTGGTGGAAGAGGGAGAGAAGGAGGACCCTGACTCTGACTGATCCTCAGCCTCGCGAGGATTGCCCTCCTAATCCTCACCCTCCTCATCCTCACCCGCGGCACCCCCGCCTCGCGCTCATTCTCCTCTCGCTCACCCCCGATCAAACGCAGAGCGGCTGGCTAGGAAACACGTTCGGAGGTCCGCGGAGATTTCTCGGATCGGCAGTGAACCAACTTTTCTGTCGCGTGGAGCGCGCCGCGGGCGGCGCCACGAGCGGCGCCAGAGGCGTCGCCAGAAGGGCTCCAGAGCTGGAGCTAACAAGGAAGTCCGCGTGGCTCTCCGGAAATGCGTTTTCAATGCAAAAATCCGCGTGGCTCTCCGAAATTGTATCTTTCTGATTATTTCTCGGCGGCGCGCAGAGGGGGGGTGCGGAGCGGGGAAGGCTTCTCAGAAAGAGGCTGTTTCTTAGCAGACGCCAGCCTTACGCTTACGCACAAGTCCCGCGCCTTCTAAGAAGCAGGGGTGCTTCTAAGAAGTCTCCGCCCCTTTCCCTAACCCCCTCTGCGCGTGGCCGATGTCTCTGTGTTTCTCTCTGTAACTGCCCCGTCCTCCTCCTCCTCCTCTTCCTCCTCCTCCTCGTCCTCCTCCTCCTTCCCCTTCTCCTTACTTACTTACCCATCCCATTCGCGCCTTCACTGATCCGAATCTCAACCGAGCACACTGGCGCTGGGCAACTCTACGCACCTAGAGCTAAAGCTTCCACCTCGGATCCAGCCCTGCTGTCGGAGTTCCGAACACACAGGGGCGGAACGCCGCCAGAAGGCGGCGGCCGAATGGGGGAACCGCCAAGGGTCCACCCCCTTTCAGCCGCAGGGGCCGAAGGCCCTCGGACCCGAGGAAGACGCCCTGCCCGAAGCCCCCGCCCGCTGACGGCCCGCGCGGGCCGCGGAGCCTCGTACCGAAGCTCCCTCACCGTCTACTTCTTGCCCTGCAACAGCTTTGCCATCTCGCCTCTGGGCGCGCGGCCTGGCTTGCGGGCACCTCCCCACTCTCTCAGTATGTGACTCATCACGCTGTTGAGACCCATCATCTTGACCCCATTCGTGAACGGCACGATCTCCAGTGGGCTCTTCTGCAGGGTGGCCTCCGCCGCGGCGTTCCCCCAAGCCTCGCTTTGCTCCTTGAGCAGCTTCTCTGCCGCCTCTGCCGTCACTCCGACGAGCACCTGTCCGAGGAGGGTGAGGGTCAGCCTGGCCTTCTTCTGGTCGTACGTCGGCGAAAACCCGTACTCCTTCACCCACTCGCTGGCCCCCGTCCCGTCCGTGTGGCTCATCATCAGGAGCAGGCGCTCGGGGACGCCCTTGAACTTCTTCATGGCTGGGCTTGACGATCCCTCGTTCAACCAGCTCGCGATAGCGGACAGATTGGAGCCGAAAATCTGCAACTCTGGCGGCCCCCTCTCGTGCTGTGGTCCTTCTTCCTTCACGATGTCCAAGTACCTCTGGTACACTTTGCGCCCGTCCTCGATTAACAAGTGGTCGTGCGGGAGGTAGATCTGAACGGTCTGCGCATACTCGAGTGTCCTCACCCGCGCTTCGAGCTGTACTGCCAGCCGTCGCGTGATCACCTCGTCTGACTCCTTGGTCTTGCTCTTCTTGTTGCCTGACGGCTGCGTCGTGCCTTCTTGCTGCCCTGAGTGTTGCAGTAGCCATGCCATCGAACTCGAGCTGGTGGCCCTGAATGTACGGGCTGAGGTGGCACTCTAAAATGTGTCGACGCAACTCTTGGGCCTCGTCCGCTACGAACTCACATAAACGGCAGTGTGAAATCATCATCCTGATCTCATCCCCTGATCTTGCACGGTCTACACATAGTCCTCTCTCGAACGCCCTGTGCATGTGCTTCTGCGCCTGCGCGTACGTGGTGAAGACCGTGCCGCAAATCGTGCACATATTGCTGAAACATGTGACTCTAAACAATATTCTCTTGCCATGCGTGCCGCCCTTCGTGTGCACGTAGTGAGAGCACAGCCTCGCTCGGTCTGGGAAACGTGCCTGGCACGGTCTACCCGCGTGATCTTCTGCCCAGCACTGGAACTCCCCGCCTACTTGACACTGTGCGTGCTCAGGCTCGTGCTCGGCTCTATGGTGAATGAAGTGCGCTCGCATGCCCGTCAGATTTAGCTTGATGAACTCTTCCCTACCCTCCAAGATCGCCCGGCGTGGATCGTGATCTTCCCCTTCTCCTCCTCCTCCTCCTCCTCCTCCTTCTCCTCCTCCTCTTTTGGACGTGACGTCCGCGAAAGGCGGACGTTCGCCTGCGCGGTGTTCCCCCCCCTGGCGCACGCAGGCTACGCCCAAAGGTGCCGAGAAACGTACGCCCCTCTGGAAGCGCGGCGGCAAGCCCTAGGCTGTGCTGGTAAACTCGGCGGCTCCGAACGGTGTGATTTGCAGAGGAGGAGGGGGAGGAGGAGGGGGGAGGAGGGGGAGGGGGAGGGGGAGGAAGAGGTGGAGGAGGAGGAGGAGGAGGAGGAGAAGGAGGAGGAGGAGGAGGAGGAGGGGGAGGGGGAAGGAGGTGGAGGAGGGAAGAGGGAGAGGGGCCAGGCTGTCCTGCAAAGGGTGCTGTCTGCAGAGGATTTGCTTGGAAACCCGCACCCTGGAGGGCGCTCTGGAGAGCGTCCCGGGCGGCGGGCGGGGGCCACGATGGTGTTCTCCGTTGCTCCCCGACGAGGCCAGAAGAGGGCAGTTGAAGGGGCCCTGGGACACACAAATAAATACACAAAAATAAAAATATCCCCCATATTTCCTTTTCTGGGTTTTTATCTTCCCCCCCACTTCCCATACTTTCCCATATATTCTGGGGAATCGAGGATTAATTGTGTCTGTGTTGTTTTCCCTCCTGAGCAGTGCCGTGCTCTCCAGGCCCCAAAGGCGCCGATCGCACACCACACCCTGGCGTAACCATACCTTTTGTAGTCGCAGACACGCGCCGAGCAAAAACGCCGGCGTGCCGGTGAGCCTGGCGGGACAGCATGGCGACAATGAGATTAAAACGATGGCAGAATCGAGACAAGATCGGACCGAGGTAAATCGGAAATCTCTGAGAATCGGCAGGTTTGGAGGATGTGTCGGGTGTCACGGTCGTTTCAGAGCGCTCTGGAACGGACGTCTCCTCGTCCTTGCCCCGTCCGAGGACGGCCCTTCAGAAGCAGCGGCTGCGGGGCCCAGGGAAGCCCGACACAGGAGTGAAGATCTTCCGCCCGCACACGTGCGCAGTCCATGCACGTCATTTTCAGGCGCCCGGGCACCCCAGCGTGGTGTCCGTGATGCCATGCCTGAGGGCCGCCCAGCACGTGGCCAGAGCGGCTGGGGTCGGAGGGCCGCGCCGCACCGGAGATGCATCGGCGACCTCGGCACGGTGAAGCTCGGCGCCAGATCGCGCGGCAGCGACGACGCGCCCACGACGCGATGCCGCCCTCCAACCCCATCCGATCTGCCCTCGTGTGGTCGGGCCGGAGTGCCTGCGGTCGCCGGAGTTGGTGAGGCCCCACACGAAGAAGTTCTTCCTCTCGGGGAGACGTAAGACTCGGGTACGGGGGACTCGGGTTGGCGTGACGGGGCCATCACAAAAATGACGAGACTCGACCTGAAATTTGACGCGAGCTCCCGCTGCAGACATCCCACGAAAACTGGACCGTCAGAATCCAGGACGAGCTCGTCAAAAAACGTCGGCGAACCCGAGTTCCGGCTTACTCGAGTCTTACGTCGCTCCGGTCCTTGAGTTTCTCAGGCGAGACAATGCGGCCTCCAGGTTCTCGAGCTCCCCCGCCGGCGTGAGCCGGCTGCCGAAGCCGAACCTCGACTCCTCGGAGCTCACGGACCCCTCCAGGGACCCGATGTTCAGGGCGTCGTTGGGCAGCGTCGGGCAGGTGTCGGTGGACCTTCCCAGGCTTTGGGCGATCGGATTTTCTCAATCCCGGCGTTGTTCCATCATTACCCGTCGGTCGGAAGAAGTCCGAAGAAGCATGAAGCAGGAAGGCATGGGAACCAGATTGGGTTTTCGCCCGCTCCCCTGAACAGGAGGGACAAGGGAAATCCGGTTCGACTCTCGAAGTAGGAAGGTGGCTAAAAAAGATCGAGATCTGGGGATCCCGGATTCAGAAGAACACACTGCATCACCATACACTGTTGGCGCTCCGCGCGGATCTCTTGGATCTGCGCTGGACCCCCCTGCCAAGCGCGCCAGAGGCGGCGCTGGAGGCGCCGCCAGGGCCCAGCGCAGATCCAAGAAATCCGCGCGGAGCTTGGAACATATTTGTTTACGGCATTTATTCTTCATCAAAAATTGTGATGTTCAACGACCCGCGTGTGCGGCGGCTTGTGGTGGCTGCTATTGGGCCCAGGGGCCACCAAAAACAGAACTGGGACGAGGACGAGGTCTGCGGCCGCAGATCGATGACAATCACACGCCGCCGCATGGGGCCGCGGATCGACAGAGCTCACGCATCGCTGGACGCCTGCTGGGCTCGAGGCTCACAGACTCGCCATCGCTCGGACGTCCATTCCCTGTGCTTGTGTCGGTTTCGTGCGTGGCTTTTTCGCCAAATGATCAGGGATGCTCCTCGATGGTCCTCGCCGAGGAAAAAACGCACACGTCCGAGCGATGCCAGGTAGAAGTCTCCGAGATGGGATCGGAGTAGACGGGGTCGGGGGATCGCGCCGCATCGGCGATACATCGACACTGCCTCGGCGATGCATCGGCGACGCCAGCGCGGAAGATATCAGGCTCCACATCGAGCCGCATCGCCGATGCATCGGCGATGCGGCGCGATCCTCCGACCCCATCCACTCGGACCCCATCCAGCAGGCCTAGAGTTGTGGATGCCGCGAAAATGGACACCCGATCAGTCCTGTCCTCGAATTCAAGATGTGTTTAGCATGTAGGAGAAATGTCATACACATGATTCAAACATGTTTTTTTATGTTAATGGTTTACACATGTTTAAGACATGTTTTAGACACCTGGGAAGTATTTGGCAGCATGCTTCCTCTCCATTGATCATCCTCCGCAAGCCTAGAGCCCAGGGTATGGACCTCCTCGGCCTTCGGGTGGGGTTCGCAGCTCGCCGCGTGCTCGACGCGCTCCGAGCCCCACCCCCGCCGCCCATCGAGCTGCCTGAATCGTGGATGAGCGATGCGGGCAATATTCATGTCCATATCCGTGCCTCTTGGACTTTTTGGGAAACGGCGCCACAAGACCGAGGCGCACTGGATACGGATAAAAATCGAGCCTCTAGGGTCAAATTTATCCATATCCAGTGCGCCTCGGGTTTCTTGGGAAGGGAGCCCGAAGCTCCAAACTGCAATGGATATAGACATAAGTATTGCCCGCAAGCGAGGGTACAGTCGGACTTGAATTGGACAGGACACGCGGAAGGACACAGGACCCTTCCAGGGGTCACACTGCCACGGGAAAGCAGGAGCTCGCCATCGCTCGGACGTCCATGCCCCGTGTTTTTGTTTCGGTTTCGTGCGTGGCTTGTTCCCCAAAGGATCCAGGATGCTCCCCGATGGTCCTCGCCGAGGAAAAAATGCACACCTCCGAGCGATGCCAGGGGAGGCATGGGCCGCGAGACACAGGACACCGGGGCACCCCTTGACTTTGCAGGGCCGACTCACCACTCCGGGCCGACCGCAGTGCTCGGATGTCGCCGCCCAGAGGGGGCGCGCTTTCCGCGGGGCCCGGCGGGAGAGCATTGGCGGCGAGCCCCGGGGGGGTCGGCGAGAAGGAGCGTGCCTTCTCAGAGGTTCGGCAGTCCCCCCGCCTTCTGGAGGCGCAGGAGCCTTCCGGGACGGCCCGAGGGCCTCTGAGAAGTCCATCCGCCTTCTGGGAAGGCCTTCTCCTGCTCACTTCACCCTTCGCTCGCCGCCGACTTCCAGATTGCCAGAGATCGAGGAATATGGCGCTAGCATGTTCAGGCCATTTGGGGGCCTCCGGAGGCCTCAAGAGGGAAGGGGAGCCCGACCAGGGAGAGGTGGAGCAGGGGAAGGAGGGAGGGGTGCACGGGCAAATGAGCACAGGCGGGCAGGAGGGAAGGTGAGATCCGAGCGGGTGACGATCGACGGAGCAGGAGAAAGACAAGGACGGAGTGGGAGCAGGAGCAGGAGGCTTGCCAGTCGGGGGATGCGAATCAAGAACCTGTCGGCAGATACCAGCAGCAGGGGGGCCCGACCCCAGCGGCCTAGGGCCACGAAGTTGGCGCGAGGGGTGATGGCTCAGGATGCGTTCTGGCCAAGTTTTACATTATTCGCGATAACGCACGTGACCAGTCCCGTCCCACCCCTCCCCCATGGGGTCATGTCACGCTTCGCGCTGGCGCCATCTGAGAATCAACCATCCTGAACTATTTCCAAACGGCGCCGGCGCGAATCGTGACGTGACCGTGGGCCGGCTTTCTCCCCCCCTCCCCCACACACCGATACCGATGGCAGGGAGACAGAACGGTGTCTTATCCAGCGGTCCCCGTTTTTGCAGCACCCGGGTGGAACATCCGGAGATCAAGAGGGATCCTGGACGTCTTGGAACGCATCATTACCAGTACGGCCCCAACTGCTCCTGTATACAGAGGCCTCCCAAATGGGGTCCGAGTAGATGGGGTCGGAGGATCGCGCCGCATCGCCAATGCAATGCATTGCCGATGCGTCTGCGATGCATCGGCCATGTCGGCGCTGCATCGGCGCCGTCGGCGCTGGAAAAATCGGGCTCCGCTTCGAGCCGCATCGACGATGCGGCGCGATCCCCCGACCCCATCTGCTCGGACCCCATTTGGGCGACGTCAGGAAACGGGCCCCACACGAGATGCCGCAGCGACCATACGCCGCAGCTTACGCAGGCCGCCAGCGCGGCACACCGCGTGCAACTTGCGGGCGAATGCGTGCAGCTTGCGCGTGCAACTCACGGGTACACGGAGGGCGCCTACGCGCGACCGCACGCGTGCAGCCCTCGGGCGAATGTCGGCGCAGTTGGAAACGTTCGTCTTCCTGCGCCGCTCATTCGGGAGGCCTCGAAGCTCGGAACCGTTGCCTGGACCCCTTCCCAGGGGCCCAAGAGCGCACCCGCCTCGCCGAGCCCAGTCCGGGCGCGAAGACGTCCCCCCCCCTGCCGCTTGCAAACCATGGGAGCCTCCCACACCATGTTGTTGGCTCCTGCGGGCCGACGCTGGTCGACGCAAATCGACGCCAAGTCGACGCCGATGCACGCTAATCGGCGCTAAACTGGCGCTACCTCATCGACTGCCAGACGCTCATCGACGCCCACGCGCCCCGAAGACGGACCCGCGGGGATGCACGAGGCCCCCATGATATTCTGCAACGGACCCCCCGCTTGGTTGCTGCTCGAAGTGCCCCTGGCCCAGGGTGCCCCAAAGCTTCCCTCCATGCTGGAGCCGCTGGGCCCCCCCCTCGCCATCGCTCGGACGTCCATCCCTTGTGTGTTTTTCGGTTTCGTGCGTGTTTTTTTCGCCAAATGATCAAGGATGCTCCTCTATGGTCCTCGCCGAGGAAAATAGGTACACGTCCGAGCGATGCCAAGCCCCGTGGCCTCGTGCCTCCTGGGGGGCACCCTGGGCCGGGGGCCCTTCCGGCAGCACCCGACCCGCAGGCCGACTGCCGTGGCCTCCAGCGGCCCTCCTCTCGAGAGGCCCCCCAGATGGGGCCCGAGCAGGTGGGCTCGAAGAGTCGCGCCGCATTGCCGATGCGTCCCCGACGGGCGACGTGGGCGATGCATCGGCGCAGTCTGCGTGGAGAAGATCGGCCTCCGCGTCGAGCCCCACCGCCGATGCAGCGGCGATGCGCCGCGAGACGCTGCCCCTCGGGCTCCAGGGCCCGACCGCAGCCCGCGCGAGGCCCGCCCCTGCGCCCCGCCGTGGCGGCGAGGGGCCCCACCCCGAAGGCCAGCTGCCGCTGCGCCTCAGCTCGCACTCCGCTGCGCTCGACTGCGCGCAGAGAGGTGATTCGGGGCACGAAGAAGACGAAGCCAGGGCGAGGGCGAGGCCCAGATCGGGTGAGGATAGATCGGGAATCTCTGAGGTACCGCGGCTCTGGACTGGAGGACGTCTCGGGCGTCGCGGCCTCCTCAAAGCGGTCTGGAACGCTCTGGTAGCTTTCCGGGAAGCTCAGGAACGGAATGATCCTCGTCCCAGCCCGACGAGAGTGGACGTGTTCGACTATGCAGTGGCCCCTTGTTACCCACCGGACCTGGGCGGTCTTCGGCGATGTCTGGCGGTCTCCTGTGGTCTTCGGGAAGTTCCCGCGGTCTTTTTGAAAGCTGGACGCTTACGGCGGTTGGCAAGGGGTCCACTGAAGGGGCCCAAGGACACACAAATAAATACACACAAATAAACAGATTCCCCATATTTTCCCATATTTGCTGGGTGTCTGTCTTTCCCCCCACATCCCATATTTTGTGTCTGAGAAATCGAGGATTAATTGTGTGTGTGTGTGTGTGTGTGTGTGTGTGTGTGTGTGTGTGTGTGTGTGTGTGTGTGTGTGTGTGTGTGTGTGTGTGTGTGTGTGTGTGTGTGTGTGTGTGTGTGTGTGTGTGTGTGTGTGTGTGTGTGTGTGTGTGTGTGTGTGTGTGTGTGTGTGTGTGTGTGTGTGTGTGTGTGTGTGTGTGTGTGTGTGTGTGTGTGTGTGTGTGTGTGTGTGTGTGTGTGTGTGTGTGTGTGTGTGTGTGTGTGTGTGTGTGTGTGGTTGTGTGTGTGTGTGTGTGTGTGTGTGTGTGTGTGTGTGTGTGTGTGTGTGTGTGTGTGTGTGTGTGTGTGTGTGTGTGTGTGTGCCCTCTCTTAATCTAAAACAATGACCTTGCAGCATTAGGGGGGGCCGCCGCGCGGGGGGGGGGGGGCGCACTCCAAGCGCGCAGGCAAGTGCTGGGGGTACCCCTGTGGACTCGCACCAGAGGTCACTCCTCAAGCGAAGGGTCACTCTTGCGCGTAGTATATATATATATATATATATATACACATACACACACATATATATATGTGTATATATATATATCGGCGATAACCCAGGTTATCTGACGGGGGGGGGGATAGGAGGTCCCACCCGGGAACCTAACCTGCAGCCCCACGTATACCCGCGCGCACCAATAGTGCGCACCGCCTTCGGACCCGCGCAACCGACACGCTCAGGCCATCTGGGGGTGGGGTGGAGGCGGCCGGGCACGATAAGCCAGGACCTCGATGAACCCTAAAAAACAACCTGTGGACCCACACCAGCCAGGAAGTAACTGCGGCGAATGGGGGCCACCCTTGCGCGTCGCCGATACCCTGCCATCGCCCAGACATCCACTGCCCGCGAATTCTTCGGCTTCGCGCGTGTTTTTTTCGCCGCTGGCTGATCCGGTCTGCTCCTCGACGGTCCTCGCCGCAGATAGGACACGCGCACGCCCGAGCGATGCCGCCGAGGCTTGGTGCCGCCGGGCGACCCGCGGTCCCCGTCGTCCTGGCCGGTGGAGGCCTGGCTGGGGTACAGCAGGTGCGGCTGCCCGCTCGCACTGGGCGTCCTGCGGGGCGCGGGCGGTCGTGGGGGGGGGGGGGGGGGGGCGACGAGCGGAGGGAGAGGAGGAGGAGGAGGAGGAGGAGGAGGAGGAGGAGGAGGAGGAGGAGGAGGAGGAGGAGGAGGAGGAGGGAGGAGGAGGAGGAGGAGGAGGAGGAGGAGGAGGAGGAGGAGGAGGAGGAGGAAGGGGTGCGGGCGAGGAGCGGCGGGGAGGAGGGGTGCCCTGCTCGGGCCCTCGAGGTCCCCGCCGGGGCCTCGAGCCGGATGTGGTCTCGCGGCGGCGGCGAGAGGAGCCCGGCAAAGGGGCGCAAATAGGTGGCTGAGCACCGTGTGGCCGATACCTGGCCCCGCCGGCGTGGCCTGGGCCCCACCGGCCGAGGGAGGCCCCCAGCTGGGGATAACATTGCTGTTCCCTTCGGGCTTCGAGGGGCATATCCCCCACTTCCCTGAAGGGCCTCTTCAGGGGCCCTCGGGGGCCCTTTTTCCTGCAGCCCTCGCTGCCCCCCCAAGGTACGCCTGGACTGGTGAGGATAACCCCCATCTCGGGGTCCAGGCGGACTAGAAACAACAGTTTCCCGGAGAAGTCGATGCAAGGATGGGATTATTCCTGGTGCAATGCATGAGATGACGATCGGAGCTACGAGAGGTACTTTGGAGGGGATATCAAAATTCGGCCTCCCCGGCTGTCGCGGCCACTGTCAATCCTGTGGAGAAAGAAATGCAAAGGTTGAGGGAGGGGATGCTGTATTATCCGCGGGCTGGCGTTATGACCCCCAGCTTGGGGAAACCAAAATGGATCGATACGCTACTCCCTGGACCTCTCCCAGGGTGCGTTCTGACCCGGATTTCGAGGCGAATACTGCGGTGGCGACGAGGGCCTCCCCAGAGGCCCAAGAAGGGAAACACAAAGGAAGGGTAGCGGCATGGGTAGATTCCCCTCCACTGACATGTATCGACCCCCCACTTATCGCGGCCCGAGCCTGTTCGGAGACCCTGACTCCGCGTCGCTGGATTCCGCGCAGGACACGTCGAAGGACACGCGGCTGCTGAGCCTCGGCCTCATCGGCGCCCCGCCGCCGACCTTTGGGGAGGCCCCTCCCCAGCAGGCAGCGGCACCCTTCGAGGAAGAGAACACAAACACACAGGTTCGGAAATACCCGCGGATTTCCTCTCCCCTCCCAGGAACGTGCGATTCGCCATAGGGGGCCTAATTATCGCCGATCTACTGGCTCTGTATCGCCGGTGCCAGCTCGATGTTACCCCCCCTGAGTCGGACCCCCCTGACGTCAGCCCCCGCCTCCTCAGCAAAACAACCCACGGGATCGACGAAAGACAGATAACCGTTCAGGATCTCCTCGCGGAATTCATGGATCGGCGCTGGACCCCCCCATGGGGGCGCTTCCCTGCCATCGCTCGGACGTCCATTCCCTGTGTTTGTGTTCGGTTTCGTGCGTGGTTTTTTCACCGAATGATCGAGGATGCTCCTCGAAGGTCCTCGCCGAGGAAAAACGCACACGTCCGAGCGATGCCAAGCTTCCGGCGCCGCCCCTGGCGCGGTCCTAGAGGGGCCCTGGAGGGGGCCCCGGCGCCGATCCAGGAATCCCCGAAGGTGCACACGTGTACTCCAGGTTTCGTAATAAAAGGGAGGGGGTCTGGACCCTCCAAGACAAGCCATTGCAGACCTCCCCCGTGGGAGAACCCTCCAAACCATCGTCCCCAGACCCCCCAGGCCCTCCAAGATAGCCTGGAAGAGACCCCCCCCCGAAATGAGACCCCCCTCCCTTTTGTTACGAAATCTGGAGTATGCGATGTGGTCTTCCTTGGCCCAGGCCTCTGGAGCCCCGCGCGGACCTCTTGAAGTGTGGGCGCGGGGCCAACCACCCGCCAACCATAAGGCGGCACCGTGACGTGGCGGCCACTGCGCTTGCGTGTGTCTGACTCCCCGCGAGATCTCTTGGCCTTGACAGATCAGCAAATGCCCCATCTGCGGGCAATACTTCTGTCCAAATCCACTGCAGTATGGAGTTTCGGGCTCCCTGCCCAAGAAACCCGAGGCGCACTGGATATGGATAAATTTGCCCCCTAGAGGCTCAATTTTTATCCATATCCAGTGCGCCTCGGCCTTGTCGCGCCGCTCCCAAAAAAAGTCCAAGAGGCACTGGAAATGAACATGAATCTTGCCCGCACCATCGCCTGATCGCTCCATGTCTCGGTGGTTCAAAGATGGGGTCCAAAGGGATGGGGTCCCGAGGCCGAGGTGCCTGAAAAACAATGCGGACCCACCCATGGATCCCGTCGGATCCCATGCGTTACCGCATGGAGCCTTCGAGAAAGAATAACGCTCCATCTGGGGTTCAGCTGCGCCTACGGTGCCTAGGACACCAACAAATTCTGGAAGATCCTCATGGGACCCCCGGGCCCCTTCCGAAACCGATCCCAGAAAATTCGGGCTGTGTGCCCAGACCTGGGATAACAGAAACACGGTAGCAATAACGCAAGCTGTCAGGAGGTCTCTCCACGATGCCCGCAAAAAGCGAAGACGAGAGGAGGGCAGCAACATCGATGTGGCTTCCTCCCGTATAATAAGACTGCGACATCAATCAGCGCTTACTTTCCAGAGTTTCGCACGGATTTCTTGGATCGGCGCTGGCTCGGCGCGGTGGACAAACATCCCTTTCGTAAACCTCCCCTGGGTGAAAACGGCCAGGGACCGAAACCGATGGACCTGGACCCGCGAAAATGACGGCCGCGACGCTCTCTCGCGAACCGAACACGGCCAATTCACGAAGGTGCGCCGCTGGATCTCCCCAAGGGGGGGGGGACCCCCCCCCCTCTTCCCCGATCCGTCGTCGGGGACCCCCCCCCCCCACCCCTCCCCATTCCCCGATCCGGTCGGGGAACCCCGCCCCCTCCCCCCCTTTGCCCCGATCCGTCGTCGGGGACCCCCCCTCCCTTTCAAAAGGGGGGGGGTACCCCACCCCCCCTTTTGGCCGCACCCTCCCCCCCCCTCCCCCCATTTCGCCACGCCGCCCCCTGATTCCGGAACCCGACCCCCGCCACCTCTACCCCTAGTCCTCACCCGAACCCAAACCCTTAACCATGACCCCAACCACGAACCCCAGCCCCAAAGAGCACTCACTCGTCATTACTCACTACACACTACTCACTACTCGTTATTCGCTACTCACTTCTCACTACCCCCTGCTCGCTACTCACGACTCACTACCCACTATCCACTACTCACTACCCACCACCCACTACTCGCCACTCACTACTCCCTACTTTCCACTCCCTCCTCCCCACTCACTACTCACTACTCACTCCTCACTACCCACTACTCACTACTCACACCTCACTAAGCACTACTCACTACTCCCTACTCACTACTCCCGTATCACTGCTCTTTACCCACTACCCACTAATCCACTACTCACTACTCACTACTTATTGTCCACAAAACACTCCTCACTACCCACTACTCGCTACTCCATAGACAATACTGGCTACACAGCACTGCGTACTCAATCTCGCTACCCCATGCTCGCTACTCGATTATCCTTACTCCCTCCCCGCTACTCACTACTCATTACTCCCTACTCACTAGTCACTACAAAGTCTCTAGTCACCAGTCACAGGTCACTAGCCACTGGCCACTAGTCACTACTCACTACCCACTACTCACTGCTCACTAATCGCTACTCACAACCCACTATTCGCTACGCACTTCTTACTTCTCACTGATCACTGCTCCCTAACCCCTACCCCCTACTCACTACTCACTACTCGCTACTCCCTAGTCGTTACTCACTGATCACTACCCACTACTCACTATTGACTACTTTATACTCACTACTCACTACTCACTACGCCCTACTCGCTCCTCACTACTCACTACTCGCTACCCCCTTCTCTCTACTCATTACACACTACCCGCTGCCAGTACCCACTCCCTCTATTCATCACTACTCACTACTCACTACGCACTACGTACTACTCAGTACTCACTACGCACTACTCACTAGTCACTACTCGCTACTCTCTACTCACTACTCACTACTCACTACTCACTACTCACTACTCACTACTCACTACGCACTACGCACTACCCACTACTCACTACTCACTAATCACTACTCGCCACCCACTACTCACTACCCGCTATTCACTACCAACTACTCACAACTCGCTACTCCCTACTCAGTACTCGCTACTCACTAGTCGCTACTCACTACTCACTACTCACTACTCGCCACTCACTACTCACTTATCAGTACACACACTCACTATTCACTACTCACT